AAAATATAAATAAATAGGAAAAAGCCCGTCAAAAATTAGCAATTAAAGCAAGGTATCATAATTAATTCAGATCACTAGAAATTTGTTTAACAGGTTCATTTCGTATTTATTGAACAATGGACAGTATTTTTAAACTGAAGTATAAAGATATCGTGTTTAATGAGCAATTGTTGATCAGAATCGACTTCAAACTTCAAGTTGATTTCATCATCTCTTTTGCTTCTTGACTGGCCCAAGAATCAAAAGAAATGAACGGAAGTAGTCGAGCAAAATGATGGAGAAGTTGATTATAAATATCAAACGTCGAGGTTTTGCAATAACCTCAAGGTTGATTCAAGTAGATTTTAATTGATTTTGGCTGACCGGTTATATCAGAACATCTCCTGATCAACATTATTCAAGCGAGTTTCTAAAAGCTTCATTTTGTTTCATTTCTTGTAGATGAATAAACTTCCAATTAAAATCTTCTCTTGGGACGAGAGAGTCATCAATAATTACGGAATTGTGATTCCATCAAAGAGATATTGTGAAATTCATTTCCACGTAGTCGGGCCATTTTTAATTAGTTGTTATTTGTTACCTTCTAACTTTCCTGTGTAGAAGAAGGTCAGTGGAAAACGTGAAAATACTTTGTACGCTTTGGAGAATAAGTAGGAGTATGCATAGCGTTGGCATTTTATGCACAAACATTATCTATCTATCTATCTATTTATTTACGCCTACCTGGGGTATGACGTTTACAAGGGTGTAAACGATAGTAATACGGCAAATATCCTCATTAAACCTAGAATAACCACCATGACAATGATTTAAGACCAGAAATTGTTACATTCCAATGATTTGTTTTAATAGCGCGATAAAATAAGATGCATCACGACACGTATATCTCGGGGTCCAGACTATCGCAATAAAAAGATCCACTATTATTTGTCTTTTTAATCTACGTGATATAAACGCCATGTTGACACTACCGAGGTGCGTTTGGTTGTGGAATGGCAGGAGATATAAACAAACCAAGACGTATATACCTCAATTGAAAAAATATATATTGCTACCAAAACGAGGCTAAATGCGCAATACAGTTCGCAAATCAGCGTCGATTGACTTGCTCGACGTCGCGCTATCAAAAAATCTTCACATTGAAAAAGAAGCACAAAATCTCTCGAAATAATGAACTTTAAGCAACAGAGATATAATTTTACCGATGAATAATAAGAATATCAAGAACAGAAGAAGTGTTAAGGCGAATAAAACAAGCAGACTGCTGCTATAGAATGAAAGGGAGACAGTTGAAACTCCTGAAACACATAATGAGGAAAGACGGATTTAGAGAACTCTCACAGGACATATTGAAGGCAAGTGCGATAGAAAGAAACATCGAGTCGCTTACCTAACGAACTTGTGAAAATGGATAGCAAAAAAGGGATAATAAAGGTACAAGAGTTACTAAGAGCTGCAAAAGACAGTAACTTGTGGAGAGCCACCATTTCCTATGTCCTGAAATGACTTCATATTGTATGTTAGCAATGTCTATCAACTTACTACTTATCTCATTCCTTGTTCTGCCATCCATTTACACTTGCTCGTTAGATAAGTTATTCGAAGCTTCCCTTTGCTTTCAATATATTCTGCGAGTGTCAAATGCTTCAAGCCCTCTATTCTCGATCTTTAATAATGTCTTTCTTTTTCTTATATATTTTTTTACACTCGGTAACCTTTTGTGTCTTAGTGACTTTATTGCCTTGCTTGCGGTGAAATGATTTTTAAAAAAGCTCACCCACCCCAAATATCACTCATCTAGTAATATAGCAAAGTCAGTTTCAGAGTGTTTACAGTAAGATGTATTTCTTTTTTTCACTCGAATGCTATCAAATCGAAGCAGCTGTGCCAAGTCACCAAATAACCTAACACTGAAATAGAACCACCCCACGACACTAAACAATATGACTGTAGGACACCCTGATGTCTTCGCAGTACAGGCCACAGGGAATTAGATTTTTTCCCCTCTAGCCACATGCATGAGTTTGAGAAGCCATATGAAACTTAGGTTCGTGTTAGGCGCCTCGGCGTTGGGTAATGATTAGCGCGGGTAGTCTTGTCGACCATTAGTACAGAGTACCCCAAACAAAATTCATCATTAACTCAATAAGGATTAATGTCTCGTTAAATAAACTAATTACATATGCAAAGCAGTAAGTTTGATCTGTAATAGAATGATTTCTGTACTTTTTTATCATTTCATCCCAAGCAAGGCAATAAAGCCACTACAACGCAAAGGGTTATCGAGTGTGAAAAATATAAGAAAAAAAAAACAGGAAGAGAGAACAGGAATTAATAAGACAGAAGTTAAAGACTGACATTGCATTTAAATTTGTCAAGGTCAAAGTTGAATGGAAAGCTTGAAGCAGGAAGAGTTTCAAAAGTGTGAGTGAAGAAACTGTTAGTATAGAACTTACGGTTAAATCTACCAAGTCCAACTGTAAAATGATGTAATCTAGCTGCCAATTTCTTACTGCGCTTAAATTCGTAAAGTCTAGGTAACATAGTGGAGAGTTCAGCAGAACAATTACCATGAAAATATTTATAGAATAAGGCACAGAGAAGCTACGTTATGGCAGTGAGAAAGTAATTGAAGCCGAAATGCCAGGTTATGACCGATAATATTGTAGGATACTTTTTGTATTTTATTAAGAATCTGTAAATACATAGCAGAAGCACCAAACCCGATGTGACAGCAATATTCAAAGCATGGACGAATGGTAGACTTATAAATGCTTCAGAGAGTTTTTCCCGCCAGAATCTGTCTAGCACGACACAGTAAATAAACTTGTTTAGCAACAGACCTAACATTTGATTCAATATAATCTTTTCACTTCATGTTAGTGGAAAACGTTAGCCTGAGAAGGTATAATGAGCCACTCTCCAGAAAAAAGAAAAAAACTAACTATAAACCAATACAATTAACTGGTGCTTGTCTATTATCCCAGTATTAGGTTACTGGTGTGGTGCAATGCTTAGTAAGCTTGTCCTGCTAGACCAGTTATGACTTATAACATTGTAGGATACTTTGTTTTTGTATTTGATTACGAATCTGTAAATACATAGCAGAAGCATCAGACCAGATGTGACAGCAATATTCAAAGCTTTGACGAATGGTAGACTTATAAATGCTTCAGAGAGTTTTCCCGCCAGAATCTGTCTAGCACGACACAGCAAATCAACTTGCCTAGTAACAGACCTAACATATGATTCAATATAATCTTTTCACTTCATGTCAGCGGAAAACATTAGCACGAGAAGGCGTAATGGGCTACTCTCCTGTGTAGCGAATTCCCTCAAAGTAACGCTACGAGCCGGGGGGAGGGGGAGTGATCTTAGTAAAAGAAGGGAAATAAAAGAAAAAGTTACTCCTAAATCTAAATCAAACAACGGCAACTGACTCAGAGAGAAGAAAAAAAAACACCTAACCTCTTTATATCTGGATTTGGTAGAAATAGTTTTGCAATGCATTGCCGGTGCTACGACTTTGGTTTGGAAATTTCAGAACTGAGATCTGATAATCAAGGGTAGATCGAAGTGGATCTACGGTAGGCATATAAGTTAGATCAAATATAGATCAGTAATTGAGAACGACGTGACCTCGGTAAGATAAAAGATTCATCTACAGCAAAAAACAAAAAAAAAACAAAAAAAAGCCTCTTTTAAAATAGGCGAAATGTGACATTTGCATATTTTATTCAAAATAACGTGTAAATAAAAAAAATAATCTAAGCAAGGCAGGTGTTTCCCCGTCCACACCTCACTCTGCTAGAAACTGCTGAAAGGTAGGTACCTATTATTTTTCTGACACTTGAATACAAAAAAAAAAAGGTTCTCTAAAACGATAAAAAGAGCAGTTTCCTTTTGGATGCGTTAAAATTAACGAGCCTTTCATTTACTAGTAAATATTTACATGCATAAACACTAGGATGAGGACCCCTCGGCGTGGTGTAACGGTTAGCCAAGCTTGTCTATATAGCTCAATTATGACTGAATAGGGAGTTCGAACCTCACAGGATGCTCCATATTTTTGGCCTTGTGCCACATCTAAGCTACACTTAGAAAAATCGCCATAAACACAGGGATGTATTAAAATAAATAAAAATTATTTTTTCTAAATGGAGGAAATTCCGAGATCACCTATATGTTTTTAAGCCCATGTAACGTAAAAGATGTGAGCGGGGAGTAACGGTTATAGACGCGGAAAGTGAAATTGACTGAAGCCGTTCAAGTTCTGGCCTAACCCTGCTATACTCATTTAATAAATTAAATAACCCAACAAGAAATAATATGTCATAGAACCGAACATGACCTCCTCAAGAGTTGAATAAATACAATTTCTCATTCTCTTCGGAGAGGATCTTTTATTTAATTATTTTTTAAAAATCTTTGATTTCTGTTTTACTTGGCCAACTTTACACTAGAAACAAATACTCTTCGATTCACAAACACAGAACGTTTAATTTCTTCACAGTTCTACACATTTTATCAGAGTTATGTCTCATAGCAATTGTTATATTTGGATACACATTTCATACGCTAAAATATTAAAACTATTACGGGGCAAAGGTCATTTATCTTGGAATTTTTTACATTAAAAATTATCATGATTATTTGCCCATTTACACTATTTACATTGCTTGGACTGTTGTCCTCATTTTTAGTGCCATACTAGACTATCCGTGACCCATTGGGCCACTGATGGTTCAAGTTATAAAATATTTAAGTTCATTTCAACATTAAAAAAAAAATTGCCTGTTTGAAGAAAGTTGAAATAAAAAATATTACTATATAAACAACTCGTGTTTTTGAATCTTATGCACTTAAATATTTTTTCAAAAATCAGATTAACTTAAAAATATTTTTAATATGCCTCCAAAATATATTTAAATCATATTCACTTAAAAATATTTTTAAAATATTGTTTGTTTAAAAGAAAGCTGAAATATAAATAAGCATACACTGAGATGGGTGGAAAGAGAAAGAGAGAGAGGGGTGGAAAGAAAGAGAGAGAGGGGGAAAGAGAGAGGGAGGGGTGGAAAGAGAGAAAGGGGGAGTTGAGTGAGAGGGTTGGAAAGAGAGAGAAAGAGAGAGAGAGGCAGAGAGAGAGAGAGAGAGAGATATGTTGAGAGAAACTTAAATCATGCGCTCGACGGCCGGCGTACGCACGATTCACAGACTTAGTATTATATAGATTTACGATGTTTGTACGCTCCGACCTTCTTCAGGTGATGTATATTGGAATTTAGAACCGAATCATTTATTTCATCCACCGGGGTAGATTGTTATAGTTCCACATGTCATATTTTTCTTTCTGGAGATTTCAGTTTCATTTATTTCCCTTTAGTAACTCATATAAATCTAAGCATATCTTAAAAACAGTACAAAAGTTAAGATCAAACGCCAGAAGATTATTTGGATATTATAGAAGATCAAATAGCTTATATTAAGATATAAACTAATAACACAATTATTTATTCAGATATATAGATTCGATTGATCTGGGTTTTTTACGGTTTATCAACCCACTGCAGGTTAATTAAAGCCATAAAATATTTTGAGATTGTACGATTTTTTTTTTTTAGAGATAATCAAGATTTAGTAATACAAGTCTTACTAATTAACCCATAGCTGGGGGGAGAAGATGTGGATTCATACCTTACTCCAAGGGCATGTGCGCGTAAGTAAATATAACGAACACGACTGGAATTGGAACTCGGCTCCTCTCCGATTTTCAGTTCTGAGTCTTTATACATTACATAACCTGTACATCCTTGGACACCTCGGCGTGGTGTAATGGTTAGCAAGCTTGTCTCGGTAGATCAGTTACGACTGAAAAGAGAGTTCGATCCTCACTAGGTGCCCCATACTTTCGGCTTTGTGCCACATCTGTCCATAACCCGTATATCCAAGCTTACAGCACCTGGTACTCCCACGTGGTCACCCCTCGAGACACTGACCAATCTCAACATCGCATAACTTCGACGAGCGTACGGGAACCGGTGTTTTTTATGTGATATGGCCGTAAGAGAACATACGTAGGATATTGTGATAATCAAATGTTTCTTGGGTTTTTATCTTTTGCGTTTATTTATGAAAAAATTTCTTTTCATGGGAAAAACGGAAATACCCACCAAAGTTATATATATATATATATATATATATATATATATATATGTATGTATGTATATGTATGTATGTATGTATAATTTCTGAAGTAATATTTTTTTATTAATCCATCAGCTGTTATTGAATGAAACGTGATTTTGAGTGCATATCCATATTTGAGTAGATGCTTTTACTGTTGTTTTGTGCCAGAGATTAATTTAGTGTCGTAAATACCTATAAGATAACTCGTTGTAGAGCATTGGTTAACAAGATAATATGGTACACTGTTAGGATGTCGTGATTTCAATGATTACTGGGTACTCTGCAATTGTGGCCTTGTGTCAGACTAAGCCGAATTTGGCAAATAACTCAACGGGCTTGGTTTATTGAAAGAATCCACAGAATTAATGAAGATTTTACAAATACTGAAATGAACTCCGTCATATATGGATAAAGTGTCGCTGTCGACTCTTGGGTTTGAACACGGATTGCCAGAGAGCAAGAACAGTCGACTTCATTTTCAAATAATTAGATCACGTGGCGGGTAAATGAATCTCTCTCTCTCTCTCTCTCTCTATATATATATATATATATATATGTATATACACACACACACACACACACACACACACACACACACACACACACACATTATTCGGACTATTGTCCTCATCTTTGTCGCCATATTTATTACGTTTCAGCCGTTGTACGCTCCGGCCTGCTTCAGGTGGTTTGAATTTCGAACTGAACCCTTTATTTCGCTCACTGGGGTAGACTGTTCTAGTTCCACGTGCCATGTTTAATGGATGTCAGTTATCAGTTATCTCCTGTTAATTTTCCCCTCTGAAAGTTGTCCACTGCCTTAATCGTGTATTGAACTCACACTCTTTGGGTTCTGTCACTGGATCTAACCAACGCCTTTATCCACTGTGCCATGGCACAGTGGATAAAGACATTCCAACCACCTGAAGAAGGCCGGAGCGTACAACGGCCAAAACTTTGTAATAAATATGGCAACAAAGATGAGAACAATAGTCCGAATAATGTAAGTAATGTACATAATGCGTCTTCTCAGAAATAAAGACTCTCTTCTTCTCTTGTAACGGCATTCACCCGGGGTGGGTTGAGCCGACTCCAATATTGGAGTTTCATGGGAATTTGGAATTCACAAGCGGTCCCCAAACCCGCATGTATAGCACATTAGATTTGATTATAGTGGTGAAGGTTTCGTGCAGGACCATCCACACTTTTTGAAGGGCCGATTACAGAGACCTGGTGCACTACGTGCCACAAGGTCCCCAAATGACCCTCCGCAGGTTTTGAATTCAGAGTTTTCATTCTCCTAGAACAGTTGCCATCCAAGGCTGTAGAACCCAGTCTGTCCTGCTATTTACACATAGCTGGAGGGAGAAGAAGAGGATTCACACCTTTCCCAAGGGTATTAGCACGGAAGTGAATGTAATGGATTCGACTGGCTCTCCGATTCCTCAATCCAAGCCGCTATACATTACTCCACCGTGCCTCTATATAGACAGATTATATATATATAGGAATTAGCGGCGCCTGACCAAGTATTGTTCGAAGGCGTTAATATTGTTGTATCTGTGATTTACAAAGAGTCTCTACTACAAACGGGAATTACAAAACACTGGATTGAGAATAAAATTCATAGATCAGGTGACAAATTTTATACAAATGATTTTTTCCGGCTTATCAACCTTTTGCAGGTTATCTAAAACCAGAAATCATGTTTAGATTGTAAGAATTGTTTAAAGATAATGATTTACTGATAAAAGTTCTACTATTTAACCCGTAGCTTTGGGGAGAAGAGGCGGATTCATACCTTTTCCAAAGGTATTTGCACGCAAGTGGATATTCCAAACCCGACTGCTATTGGAATTCAGCTCTCCGATTTCCAATTCCGAGCCATTTGTCTATTACACCGCCCGTATATCCAAGCTTACAGCACCTGGAATTCCTAAGAGGTCACCAGTCTAGGTACTGACCTAGCTCGACGTTGCTTAACTTAGGAGATCGTGTGAGAATGTGGTGTGGCTGTAAGCCTATTTAATACAAAAATGAAACTCATTGTTTTTACTAACTACAAGCATCTATCACTTTTTTTTTTCTGGTAGTCTTATAAATTAAACAATGACCAACGTAGAATTTTATTTGGGTTGGCATTACTACGAGATTTTTTTTCGAGCAGAAAACGACGCAGTTTGGGGAAATAACGACTCGTATTCTCTTTTGCTTTCGCTGGGCCTTTGTGGGGCATTTACTTTCGACGGTTTTGTCCATTAAAGAACAATAAATCAGTCTGCTGCAACTAAGTTCTTTATCCTTTTACTACTTCTGACAGATAAATCTTTCTATTCCCCACTTTGGCTGGAGCTTCGCCTGGTTTGAGGATCAACCAACAATTTAGGTACTGAACACTAATTAAAGCCTGGATCAAGCGTCCACCTCAAAGCAGATGAAATGAAATAGGATTGGTCTTTTTGAACGGCGAGCTGGAGAGCTTTGATTCTACCTAAAGCCCAGCCCAACAATATACTCGTGCGTATGAATATGCATAAATGCAACATTGAAGTAGTGAGGCGTTATTTTTTTTTTATCTCGTTTATTAATGACAAAGAAACGTCTATTTTTAATAATACTTTATCAATTGTCAAGAGCCGCAGTCAATTGAAGATTTATGCTCCATGCTTCCTCTGACAAATTAATGGTGAGTATTATGACGATTTTGCCAGATATTCAGAGTTTGGAATGGTTATTGGAACTTTTCTGAAGTTTTCTTAACTTTTAAAAAAGAAAATTAAACAAAAAGAGTCAAAACAAAAAACTGAAAGCTTAAGAAAAATAATCTTTTACCAAGAGCCAAATTTGTTAGATATTCTTGGAAAATTACATTCAGATAAGTCAAACATTAAGTAATATATTTATAGTGGGTTGGGGATAGCGCCATCAAATGATTTGACTTCGTAATGATTAAAAATTCTGTAAAAGGAAAACCTGTAAGCAACTAAGTACATGTCATTGATCACGTGACAAATTAAGTACACGTCATACTGATGCAGATTTGGACAGGAAACACACGCACACACACACATATATATATATATATATATATATATATATATGATGCATATACATAGATATGGCGATTGGCACATCTTACTCAGATGATAACCACCACTCACATCACTTGTGATGGCTTCTGATTCGTTTCGGCGTCCATGCTCCCTAAGATGACTCTCAGCATCTTCTCATTGTTTCAGGATATATATATATATATATATATATATATATATATATATTACCAGTAATAATCTCTGTTCTTCCAATGCCTTTCGTGTGTTCTTATGTAATTTAACAATTTGAATCAAGAAACCTTGTCCCTTTTTCTAATTGGTTGATTAGAAATAAGTGTTGAACTTATCTTTCTCTATCGATTTTTTTTGTCTGACACTCTGAATAAATAATGGAGTCTTCAATTGCAGAAAACGGTCAGGTTTTTCTACAACAGAGGTTGTGTGATCGTTCCACAACATTCGTTTATTTTTATTATTAGTTTAACCCCTTTAATTAAAACTTATCAATTGATATCATAATTTATTTAATTAAAATTTACTAATTTATATTATATTCATTACTATTACTATTAATCTATTTAATTAAATCAGTATAATTATTAGCTTAATCCATTTGATTAAATCATTAACTCATATTATTATTGTTGTTATTATTAAATCATATTACCGTGTAACCCGGATATAAGAGAGATTTTCTCTGGTCCCAAATTAGAGCCTGTGTTAATGTATATAAAATAGACCAAACCCGTATATAAGAGACTTCTTCTCCGGTCCCGACAACTCTCTTATATCCGGGTTACACTGTAATTCATTTTTGTTATTATAATGGCGTGAGACCATCAAAATCTTTATTACAATTCTAACACTGTTTTTAATCTCTTTCACGTAATAACTTCTTACATTTAACTTCATTAAAAAACGAAATTAGTAGCAGTTATTAGTAAATAAAACCTAAAAACAATATGTGGTTTCGGTTAATCATATTCTTTTTCTAATTTTTTTTATGACCATATTTTCAAGTCTTAAAAGATGCATTTGAAACGAAAATATTTTCTTTGCTCACTTGTGGTTTTCCATTCATTACATACATTTAAATACACTTTTGGAAATGTTAATATTAGCTGTTTCTTTATTAGGAAACATTTGATATTCATCACTCAAACAGCTAATCTTACTTTCATTTGGAATTTATTAAATTTTTTTCTGAAAATAATTTTTCAGGAAAATAGTTTTTCAAGTTCACTGTTACGACTTTTCAATATTGATGGCTTCTTTCTAACCTTTCGTTTGAAATAGTGTGGAACATCTTGATTGTGTCATTAGTTTTGCTTCGAGTTACAGGTGCTATCCATTTAATTTTTGCTGCTGTTGAAATCTCCAAATTGATGTGGCTACTGTTATTTAGTAGAGATTTTTGACATTCTCTAGTGCAATCCCACAAGTTTTGAAGGAGGTATGCCCTCACTAAGAGCTCCAGCTTTCATTTGCTTCAAGCTATTTTTAATCATTGATCTCGCAAATCAGTCGTATACAGCTAACAGGATATTTCTGAACGAGTTTCATACCACTGCCTAACATCCATATAAAAGTCGTTATCTAATGAGGTTATTTCAGAACATGACTCGATTTCTTGGTTAATGTTTTTCTTTTGTAGAACTTGCTGCGTTGGGTAAAACAACCTCTAACACAGCCTATTCTATGCTCAATTTCTTTATCTCCTATGTTAAATCTGTTATATCTGATCCATACACCGAGCGTTTAGTATTTACTAATTTCAAATACTGAATTTTTATGATGGGTTCACGGGGAGCATCACGTTTTTCATACAAATTTCAGATCATAGAATTTATTTTGGAAAGATTTGGGTCCTCTTTCTTAATACACTAAGAGGATGTTGATTTTTGTGTTGAAGATCAGTTTCATCCCGTGTATGAAGACCGACGCCATCAGTATTGCCTCCCTCATCATCAGTACACTGGTCTTGGGAGAAAAAAACAGTAGTATAAGTTGATGGAGTCGATGATCTTAGTTTTAAAAAATAAGTCGTCTGGGTTGCTTTGTATCCGTTCTCATTTTTGGTCATAGCCTTCTAAATATGTATTTATTCTTGAACGGTATTTCTTGGGTGACATCATGTGTGTGTGTGTGTGTGTTGCTGACAGATATTTATGCATTTCTTTGCCTTTACAGATACTTTGATGTCATTTTCCTTGGTACGGGTATACTGACTTTAAAGCAACCTCCGGAACAAAGTTCTCGAAGCAAACCACATTCATAAGTTAAAAAAAAAAAATGCTTTCCATGTAGCTTTCCCCGAAACAAAGAAGGAAAAAAGAAGAAAACGAAAAGAGAAGAAAAGAAATAAAGAGACGAGAAAGTAAGAAAAAAAAAAAAAGCTGGAATGAAAGAATTGGTAAAAGAAAGGGGGTGGAAAAAGAAAGAAAAAAACTCAGATTTTTGTGTGGTCAGATTGTTATCACGTGATTGTGTACGTCACCAGCACGTTTCGAGCCGAGACTGTTCTCATTGCAATCACGTCTACCAACCCGCTAGAATATCTACTGAGCTTATCACCACGACCACGCCATCAACCCACCTGCCCTACAATTCCATTACCAACTGGCTTCTTTTCTTCTACATTCTAGTCTCATTCACTCTCCTGTCCAGATACCCGCTCTTTGTCTTCTGCCTCGCCCAGTTATGAAAATTTTCCCAATCTAACCACACCCATTCGCCACCATATCATTTTTTTTCTTATTGCTGTCCGGTTCTGAAATAGAAAGACAGACAGGGAAAGAGAAAAGACGACGGGTGAGACTGGACACTTCAAGACAGACGATCTTTTATGGCCTGGATGATGGATACATTTATTTCTGATGTCCACCAAATGTCCAGCGAATGTCATTTTTGTTGTTTTCAGTTGCTGAGGCCCGGCGATCTTCACCGACCCGACCTATAGCAAAACCCCCGTCTTTATTCTGGATACATTAACACATATAAACACTTGGTGTTTCCAAAGTTTTCATAGCACGTAAAATACTTAACCGTACATACACGACCGTCTCTCCAAAGAGATGGGTGCATATTCGACGCCTTTTGCATAAATTTAGGAATTGAGAAGCAGTATTCTTTAGATCAAATGTTTATAATCGCAGGTCAGTGGTTATATACACGGTCGAAGAAAACGGGTTCCTACTGCTACGAGATGTATCAATCAGTAAGCAACAAACAAAATTAAATTAATGTTAAAAATTAAAAGAAATTTTGTTTCACATCAAAACCATTTATTGCGTTGTATCGAAAGCATCTTTTACAATGACCAAAAAATTGTTTTTTTTTTTTTACAGATCATTATTCCAAAGCGGATAAAGTGAAAACTATCTCGTCAGCAGAAAGGGACGTTATATTTGACATGCTTATAGCGACTAAGACACGAAATACATTTCTCGATCAAGCAAGTTTGAGTAGTGTCTTTAAATGAAATCTAGTCATGGATTTTCGAAATAAATAATAAAAACTGTCGGATTTATAAATATTATTTACATTATTCGGACTATTGTCCTCATTTTTGTCGCCATATTTATTACAACGTTTCGGCACTTGTACGCTCCGGCCTTCTTCATGTGGTTGGAATGTCGAACTGAACCCTTTATTTCGCTTACTGGGGTAGACTGTTCTTGTTCCACGTGCCATGTCTAATGGATGTCGGTTATCAGTTATTTTCTGTTAATTCATCTCTCCAGGTTTTCGACCGCCTTAATCAGGTATTGAACTCACACTCTGGGTACTGGATCTACCTAACGCCTTTATCCACTGTGCTTCTTTAGAAATTGCTTTGTTAACGTTTGGATATGAAACTACGTACATATGAAATTTCGAAAATCTATGACGAGAAGGATTCCGCTTAAAGACAATATTCGGCCTTACATAATTGGCAAACGTTCTTTGTGGCTGATCCGGTAGAAGCATGTCGGATCCTCCTATCACGAGGGGCGCAAGTTCGAATCCTGTAGGAGAATGCATTTTTTTTTTAATTTCCCGAATATTCCAGCCGGCAGACGAAAATAAATATACTGTTCAATAAAACAAACGGAACATCTACTCAAAATATTAACATCCACTGGAAAAAGAACGTTTAAAATAGATAAAGACTGTCTGATTAATGAAATAGAAAATCTATTACTTTAGAAATTGCTTTGTTTACGTTTGGCTACGAAACCTATCAGAAATGAAAATTTGAGAATATATAACGAGAAACATTCCGCTTTAAACATTATTTCGTCATGCTTGATCGTTCAAAGCTTATTACACATCCAAACATCATCTTTGATTTCACTATGTTATTATTATTGACTGAAAGAGTAGTAAACCAAAATAATAACACTGGTATACAAATATACGAAGCCCGATATAACCAGCATGACATTCAGTTTGATCAGGGTATAACGAGCACATGCACAACAGCCAGATATGTTTATATAATGTTTTTGATTTTAAAAAAATGCGCATAACCTTGCAGGCGGGGGCCAGTTAGAAATACCGTCAAGTCAGGTAACCCGGTCATCTCAGATGGTTTCAGATTGAGTGTGCTCCAAATATCTGGATAGAAGTCCAAAGTTGCCTTGGCTGACTCATCTTTCAAGCTTAAAAAGTAACCCTCGCGGCACCCGGCAATGATGCTCCCCGACTAATATATCTCAACAGAGACGCATAGTGTTTCATCTTCTAGGAGACACGCCCAAAGGGAGCTGGCAAGCAAATCTATGGTAACAGGATATTTACTCATCATAATTCAGAATGAAAAAAAAAAAAAGAACACGTACATGATAAACTCTTCTAATCAATTAAGATCAAAATCCATGAGAAGTGAGGCATCAGGGCATATTATTATCAATAATACGATTCAGATCTACGTTTTGGTTCTGGGGTCCCTTGAAACAAAGAAAAGGGTGCTTGATTGCTATGAAATATCTACTCTCCTATACGACAGTAAATGTTGAACAACTTGAAGTGACATATCTGTGATTATGTAAATGAATGCCGATAATACCATGAACAAAACATGCGAGTAACAAGGAAGTTTTAAGAATAGGAAATACAAAGAATCCGTTGCTAACAATAATAAAAATAACAGAAAGCTGAAATTTCTGAAACACATGATAAAGAAAGAAGACCTGAAGAAATTTAACACTAACAGGATATAATAAAGACAAGGGATTGATTAAGTGATTTCTTTTTTACCACTTATCAACCTTTTATCGGTCATTTGAAGCCGAAAGATATTTTGGATTGTAATAATTTTTTTGCCAGTCAATACTGGATGGAAATTTTCTTAAAAAAACAATATTTTTTTTCTGCATACAAATCCTATTATTTAACCCATAGCGGAGGGAAGGAGATGAATTCAGGCAAAGGTATTTGCCTCTAAGTAAATGTAACGAAACCGAGGAAAGCGAGGTAAACGACTATCCTACTTGACGAATTTGAACGAACCAACAACAGAACAAGAATCACAGACAAAGAGAGAATGGTAAAAGAGAAAGTGTTACTCAGAACAACAAAAGACAGAATTTTTGGAGTGCTATGAAAGTCCTGAAAGTACACAAAATGTAGTAGTAGTAATAATGGAAAAAGGAAAAGAGAAAAGGAAAAAAGAAAAAGAGGGGAAAAAAGGAGAAAAAGAAGAAAAAAGAAGAAATGCAAGAATATGATTCTGGTAATTTTGAGACACTAATTTATACAATGGGTTTTCAAGCCGCTAAGGATGTTCACAGAAAGTGAAAGGAAATGAAAGAATATCTGAGTGTTGTGTTCAAAATCTAGAAGTGAGCGAACATCATCAGTCGATTATGAGGATTTTAAACCTAAGGTAGAAAAAAAAAAATAACCAACCATTGGAAACATTCAACTGAGAGAGGATTATCATAAGATTTCCATATGGAGAGCATTTTTCAAAACCATGTCCATCTTTCTATTGATTCCGCTTCTTTTGTATCTATGAATTGCCACGGTGTCTTTGGAATGAAAGTGAAGTGATTTCCAGTTGCCTTTTCTGAGGTTTTAAATTCACAGTTTTCCTTCTCTTGGACTGGTTGCAGTTTAAGAAAAGAGATGGATTAATTCTTAAAAACATCAGTGTGAAAGATTAGACCGGAATTTGAACTCTGTTCGACGATTCCGCTTTCCGCACCGATAACCGTTACGCTCCCTGCACATCCATACGTAATTCATTACATAAACTAAAAAAAAAAGAATAGAAAAAAAAATAGAACCCCCCCAGAAAACATCGGAAAACTTCAGATTTTACATAATGATTAAAAAACGAAACTACTTTAGATACACCTATATCTTTATGCATATAAATATTTACTAGTTAAAGTAAACAATATATATATATATATATATATATATATATATATATATATATATATATATATATATATATATATATATATATATATATATATATACGATATACTTTGGTGACATACTAATTACGAGTTCAATCCCTGAACCGGCTAGTAATTGGGAGTTCAATCCCTGGGCCAGGTAGTGTGTACTAGAACTTAGCGGAAACGGGACGATCAATAACTGAGCAGTAATAAATACAAACTACATGAGATTATCTCTAGACATGGACAGTGAAATGAGAACAGTCTACTCTGGGTGGATTAAATAAAGGGTTCAGTTCAGAATTCCTTGTAGATCGACATATACATCTGAGGAAGGCCGGAGGTCACAACAGCCGAAATAGACATCCATTTCAACATGGCTGTCTGTTTTCCCCTGAATTCAAATGTCATCTGCTGTTGTTCTGCAGTGGTCAAACTCAAATATTGGATTCAAGCTCTGTTAGTTCCAAAGAAAAAAATCCAGTGTGACGAAGTTAGCAAACAAACTGAACTCTAGATGAAAGACATCTGTTGTGGTGGTTACGGAACAGTGGGTTTGCGAATTTGATTACATAGTGATTATGAGTTCAATCTCTGGGTCGGGCAAAGTGTAGTTGACTTAAAAGAAACAGGCGAGCAATGAGTAGCATTAAAATATTAAACTGGATGATATCTCCAGATATGGGCAGTGAAACGGAAACAATCTACCTCCGTTGATTAAACAAAGTTTGAAATTCCGTGAAGTTTATACGGATCGATATACAACAAACGTGAGGATAATGTAAATTACATTCTATAGACTTCTTGATCAACTCTAACAATAAATTTTACCTTTTTTTTTTTTTTTTAAATCAGTATATCCTCAAGCAAAGCAGTACAGCTGCTAAAACGCAAGGGGTTACTGAGTGTGGAAGAATTAGGAACAGAAACATTAATAATGAGCAGAAAGAGAAAAGAGTAATCAGGAGGACAGTAGATAGCGATTGCCATTGCATTTAATTTTTTAGCAGATTGAAGTAGGCCTGAAAGCATGCAGTCGGAAGTGTGTTCCACAAGCGAGAAGTGCGAGAAAAGAGACTGTTAGCATAGAACGTACGGTTACATTTAACCAGCTCAACTGTCACTTGAAAAGATCTCGACGCCTGTCTAGTATTGTGCTTAAATTCATGAAGTCTAGGTACCATAGCGAACAGTTCATCCGAATAATTATTATGAAAGTATTTATAAAAAAAGGTAGAGAAGCAACCTTACAGCTGAGGGCAAGTGACTGAAGCCGAGCCGCCAGTTCAGGACCAATAATATTGCTGATTCTTCTTTAGATCTTATCAAGGAACTCCAGGGGCACCTGACCATATGCGGCAGCAATCTAAGTATGGACGAATTTTAGACTGTAAGATCGATTCCGGAGAGAAAAAATTGTCTCGCATGATACAGTGAACCGATTTTCTTAGCAGCTGACTAGAAATGGATTCAAGGAACATTAGCCCAAGTAGGCGCAACGAGTCAGTTTCCT